CAACTGGTTCATATTTATGATGGTTGCTGTGTCCCGGGGTCATGTGATCAACTTTTACAACTTTCTGACAAGCAAAATCAATGAGGAAGCCAGATTCACTTAACAACCATGTTAACAATTGCAGTGAGTTACTTAACAATTATGGCAAGAAAAGTCATAAAATGGAGCAAAACTCACTTAAGAAATGTCTCTTAAGGACAAAAATTTTGGTCTCAGTTATGGTCGTAAATCGAGGACTATCTGTAATCCCTTGGACCGGGGCTGAGCTGGGGTAACTGAATGGAGCTTGAACATTAAAATAAAGAGAGAATGGTATAGCTATTTCGAGTTCCTTTAACTCTCATCAGCCAAACTTACTCTTCTGAGATTCGAACCTGGGCTATCTGCATGTTAGGCAGATGTTATAACCTCTAAGCCACGGGTTCTCTCCCACTCTGTTAGCTATCAGGAGAGAGACAGGGGGAGGAGATTTTTACCTTGAATGAACACCCTGTCAGCCCAAATATGGGAGAAAGAAATCTTCTTTCTTTTCTTTTCTTTTGCCTGTATCAGTGACTGCTGCTTGTGGATGGCTCTAGATTGAGCTGATACAGGCAAAAGAAAAGAAAAGAAAGAAGATTTCTTTCTCCCATATTTGGGCTGACAGGGTGTTCATTCAAGGTAAATATATATATGTGATGCAGGAAGGCCTCCAACCCTCTGGTTCCTGGCAAGCTTTATTGACCACCATGGTCTTCCTAAAAATCTAGACTCTACAATGTTAGCAATCTTTTAAAATACTACAGTACAGAAGTGTTTGACTGCTTAGCCAGCAATATAGGTCGTTCTTGGCTTCTTGGATTGAAATCCTGCATAAACTGATTCCTGAGCAGATTATACACTGGGTGCATGTGCAAATGGGCAGCTGATGTTTCTAAATGTGTAAACATAGTAACCTCCATTTCTAAAGTTACAAACATGGGCTTGTCTTTGAATAACTTTGAGGCCAGATTATTAAGCTATTTATTGCTGTTGTTCTAAAAGACTTTGCAATGCTTTAAGCTAGAGCAAAACTTTAATTTATGTGATACCTGGAAGCTATATGAGTCTTGATGCAGAACAACTTCACCTGAACCCTAGTAAGATGGAGTAGTTATGGGTGGGTTCCTCTATATCCAGGAGTTTATCTTTGACTCTGGATGGGTTTGCACTATCCCAGACATACCTGGTATACAACTTGGTGATCCTCTTGGACCCACAGCTGCTGCTTGAATAGCAGGTGGCAGCCATGGCCAGGAGAGTCTTTGCCCAATTTCCTGTTGTGTGCCAGTTGCACCCTTCCTGGACAGGGAGGCCCTCCACTCTGCCACTCATGCTCTGATCATCTCTTGACTGGACTATTGCAATGCACTGTACATAAAGCCACCCTTGAAAAGTATACAGAAGTTTCATATGGTGCAGAATGCAGTTGCATAAGCCATTCTGAGGAATCCAATGAAGGGCACATCTAACACCATTATTCTGTGAACTGCATTGGGTGCCAATTTGCTTCTCGATCCAATTCAAGGTGTTGGTTATTATCTATAAAACCCTACATGGCATAGGACCAGGCTATCTACTGAACTGGCTTCACCCCATCACATCATCACATCCCACTTGTTCAGGAAGGGAAGGTATGCTACAGACCCCATCAGTCAAAAAATGTTTAGGAAGAGGATCTTCTCTGCTGCTGCCCCTGCTTTGTGGAACATCTTGCTCCCTGAGGTGAGGAAAGCCCTCATATTTTGGCCTTCCATAAAGGGGTCAAAACTTGGCTGTGTAGCCTTGCATGAGGGACACAGAACCCCACAGAACCATGGGGCTGGAATTCTTCACCTTCTGAATTTTTTATAGTTGTTTTTATAATTTTACATTTTTTAATCCTAAATTATTTTTATTTTAATGTTTAATTTTATTAATGATATTGTACACCACCCAGAGATGAGCAGTGAACAAATGAATGAATGAATAGGTGTTAGAAAGTTTGAATGAGCAGCAAAGATATAATGGCACTTTGATAAAAATTATAGCAAGGTGTTGTTTAGAAAAAGAGGTATAGCTGTTGTCAGCATCCATTGACTTACATTTAGAATTTATGCTGAGGACATGGTTAAATTACTTCCTATCCTTCTGTTTCCCAAAGTAATTATTATTATAGTTGCTTGCACAGTTAGTCAGATGTTTAGAGTAGATTTGGCATTTTTCTCACCCTATCAAGTCCTTCCCAAGAGTATGATATAGGCAGATGTTGTTTTTTGATGATGTTAAAGATCTTGTCACAGGATGAAAACTGTTCTAGGTAAAGCTGTCTTTTAAAATTGATTGTTGGTGGTTTTGTCAATGCCAATGGTGTTCAAGTGGTGCTCCAGTTGTTTTGGTTTTGTGCCCAAGGCATCTATTATTATTGCTACTACCTATGCTTTTTTTTTAAAACCACAGTTGTTCTATTTCTATTTGCGGGTCTTTATATTTTGTTATTTTCTCCAGTTCTTCCTCTTCTATTCTGTTGTCTGCACATATTGCCATGTCCACTAGCCAAATTTTTTATCTTTGTTGATACAATTACCTAACAACATACCCAACAATAATTGGGTATTATGGGGCAAGTGCCTGTCTCAATTCTAAAATTCCAGAGAACTTAATTTTTCATTACTCTCTCTGTTTTATGGTCCCACCAGTTCTTGCCTCCAGGCAAATAATATTTTTTGTAGAACTTCCAATGCACTATTGTTGCTACTTTCTCATTCCATTGTTTATAATCTGTCTGTGTCATCTTCGGGCAGCAGCTAATCAGGTGATCCACTGTTTCTTTGCAGAGACAGCACTTGCTGACTGTTGCTGTCTTCTCAATTCTGGCTTTGTATGCATTTGTTCTTAGGACTTAATCTTGTGCAGCCAGAATTAGCCCTTCTGTCTCTTTCTTCAACTTTCCTGCTCTTAGCCATTAGCAAGTATTATTATCTGTTTTCTCTGCTATTTTTAAATGTACTAGCCATGTAATGTTTTTCTGGTCTTCATTTGATCTTTCTTGTAGGCCACTTTGGTCAGTAGGCTTGATAAATACTTCTTTCAGTGCATCTTCTTCGCTATCTTTTAGATATTCTTTCAACGCCCTTTTTTTCTTCTTCAGCTGTCTGATGTACTTGCAACATTCCACACCCACTTATTTGCATTTGTAAATAGATCCTGTCAACATTGCTGCCTGGAGGAAGGGCATAATTCATTGTTATTATTTTTCTGGTCTTCCTATCCAGGACCTTCAGTTTTACTTGAGTCCAGTCCACTATTCCAGTTATGTACCTAATGACTGGAATTGCCCAGGTGTTAATTGTCTTGATGATATTTCATTCACTGAGTTTGGACTTTAAGATTTTTTCACTCTCTTGATATATTAATTTCTAAACTTTTTCTTGATTTCTGTGTGTTTGATGTCAGCTTAAAGGATGCCTATATATTCATCTAGATCAGTGATGGCGAACCTTTTAGAGACCGAGTTGCCCAAACTGCAACCCAAAACCACTTATGCATCGTCGGGTGCCGGGTGGGTGTGGCCCATTGAGTAGGTGTGTCCCATTGGGTGGGCGTGGCTGCAGTGGTAACAGCAGACTGGGTAGGACTAAAAAGTTCAATCAATCAATTCCAACTTTGCAAGATCTTTTTTTTCCCGCGAGAAGTTGAAATTGACTGATCGATTGAACCTTTTTTTTTTTGTACACGGCAGCGGAGGCCTAAAGCGAAAAGGTTTTATAAAACCCAGCTGAAGGCCTAGGACTGGAGTGACGCCGCGTGTACCCACAGAGAGGGCTCTGAGTGCTGCCTCTGGCACCCGTGCCATAGGTTCACCACCACTGATCTAGATGTTTGATGTTTTTTCTTTCAGTTTTCACTATTTTTCCCCATCTGAGGTGAGCGTGGCATATTTGTCCAGGTCAAATTCTACTGCAATATCTTTATTATAAATATGGACAGTGTTGAGTAGTGATTCTTTTTCAGAGAGTGTTTTCCCATACAGCTTCAAAACATCCATGTGAAGGAGAGGGGATAATCTGGCAGACGTTTTTGACCTAAGTTGATGTAGGAGATGACCCGGCTGACCCTGAGGGAAAGATCAAATGCATCGTAAGTCTTGAGTCCTTGTGTGCCCGCAAGTGATTTAAGTGCAGCCCACCTTGAATGCCTCTCCTATCTCCCACTCTTTCCTTTGACTGTTAGTTGGTCAGATTCTTGTAGAGAATTTAAGCTTGCAGTAAATCTTTATATCATTTAAACTTCCTAAATCTCCTGATTTCTCTGGTGCCTGACAGTTATGCAGTATTATTGATAGAGGAATCAGTGCAATGACAAATGGTAACAGTGATAGTGAGGCTCCTTAAAAGGTTTCTCTCTTGATATCAACCTCTCCAATCTACTACTATTGACCAGCAAATGTGTCTCTTTGTCCCATTGCACAAAACTTTTGACGTTTCTACTGACTGTTGTTATTTCTAGGCCCTTGATTATCAAATAATTTGACAAGTAGTTGAATGCCTTGTTCTAATCAGTCCATAGTATATTCAACTTGGTTTTCCTTCTCATGCAGTTTTCCAAAATATTACATATTTTTAATATAAAAAATTAACATTATTTAAAAAATTATCCTTGTTTCATTCATTCATTCATTCTGCCTGCTATTCACTTATTTTGAATGGTTTGGATATCCAGGACACATATAATCAAGAGTCATATTTACAATTATACTATAGTTTACTGTATTTTTTTTTCAGTTTGTTCTGCAAATGTGTTTGTAGCAAGAGCAATAAGGCTCATTCTAAGGCGCACCTGCTTTCTATGGTTGGAGACAACTTCTCCAGGGAAGACCTTCCCACACCAATCAGCCTTTTCTCTACCCCCACCTTGCTGAACTTTAATTTAGTCTTATTGTTTGCATTTCCCAGAGGTGGATACCTGATCACCTAGGAAGCCCCAAGAAGAGCAAATGCCTTACGCACCTGAATTCAATGTGCTTCTAAAATTAGAGGCATCAAATGCAAGGAAAAGGAAAATTAAGCGGCCACGAGTTTTTAGGCCTGTTACCAGATCATCACAGCTTTATGCTAGAACTGAATGTCAGCTGCCTACTTTGCCTTGGTTCTTCTTTTTGTAAGTAATCTCTCTTGCATAGTAGTTTGAGTTAGAATGACAAAGTGGCAAATGGTGGAAGGTATACAAGTTGTATGAAGATGATTACTATTTGCTAATACTCTGCTTCCATATTTTACTTTGAAATAATAATACTGAGTTGAGTAGTTATTGTCCTGTGTTTATTATGATTTCCTGGAAGAGGAGACATTATTTGAAAAGCCTGGTATAGAAGTTTTGAACGATTGTAGGCAGTTCTCTGTTTATATTTTGCTTATGTGGTCATAAGCATGTTTCTCATGTCTAATTCCCTTGGTCTGTAATATATGAATAAACAGAATAATAAAGCACAGTTCATTCAAACAGCATGAAAACATTTAATAAAAAGTCAGGGAGAGAAAACAAAATAAAACCAGAATAACATTTATAATGGGAAGGTCTGTATGAGGAGATAGACTTCCAACAGGTGTCTAATAATAGGCATCTCATGGATTTCAAGGTGAGAGCATTTTGGGAAGAACAACATACTTGCCAGTACCCCCAAACTGACACTTTAACTATTATTGCATATTTATAAGGACCTTTATCCTTATGTTGGGAAGCCACTGAAGATCTTGAAGTAGAATATTTTTTTAAATATGGCACATCATTTCTTTGTCTATTACATTGGTTTTTAGTATTTTTGTAGAAGAACGTACCAAAGTGGAGTTTAATAACTCTGTCTTATTTCATTTATTATATTTGGCAAGCTGCAGAAGATAATATGGCTGGTGTCTGATTTAAGAGTCCTGACTTTAATTTTCTTCTTAACTGCTTTTTGATTAAATGGTCTCTTAACTACACAGTTCTTTGTCTTTATTTGGAAATACAGTAACACCAATTTTGTTTCACGGCTGTTATAGTAAGAATGGCTAGAATGGTAGCCTTACTTTTTGGAGTGGCTATGAGAAAGTCAAGGGGTTGTGTTTTGTATGCAAATGTCCTAAATGGGATAAGCCTGAATTGCATATATACTAAAAGGAAAGATCGGGTCTATCCCTGATTAGCTCTATCCCTGTCAATCTTTTTTTTTTTTTAAATCATTTTCAAGAACCTCGGGGACACCATAGGGAGTATGTGAGATAGTTGCATTCTTGTTTAGATGGTTGTTATTTTCCCTGCAATCTTGTTTTTTATGTATTTTTATTTTTATTCTTTTAAATGTTTTAATAGTTGTAATATTGTTTTAGTTGTTGTTGTCTAGAGTCCAGTGACATGGGCCCCATATATGTTTGCTAAATAAAAACCAAATGCAGTGAAGTTTTTAGACAACCAGGAATGCATATTATAATACTTTCTGATCTATTCATCATTTCCAGTAGTCATTAGAATGCAAACAAAATATTACTTTCCCTAGTGCCAGTCTGGCTGTATTCCAGTGGAACAGAAATTGCCTCCAAAAATTGTGAGCGCTCTATCACTGGAGGCCTTTAAGCAGAGATTGGATGGCCATTTGTCTGGAATGGTATAGGATTTTCTGCCTGAGCAGGAGGTTGGACTAGAAGACCTCCAAGGTCCCTTCCAACTTTGCCCTATTCTGTCCTATTCTATTCCACTCTCCTGATTGAGGTGAATATCAAGGCTATCATATCCTATAGCCCAGTACACACAAGCATGGCATTTTAGAAAATTAGCATATCCACATAAAATGTGAATTTAAAATAAATGATTTGCAACAATACTGAACTCTAATGATGTACCATTTTCTAGTCCTGGAGACCTTTGGATAAAATTCAGTCTCTGTAATTATTTGTTTTTTTTAATATTTTGTTTATCTTGTTTTTTACATTTCCCTGAGAGCTAGAAACCTGGTTTTGTTAAATGGCAATAAAGTGTATACTTTGCAGGAACAGAAGCATCAGATTCCAGTCAGAAAACTAGATCTAGATATTGTTAATTAGACATGAGAAGTGCTGAACTGTCAAATAATGGATAGCTAGGGACTTTATTATTGATAACAGTCACTGTTGCTTGGGAAAAAATATTACAACAAAGGAATTTAATTCAGATTTTTCTTGTATCTCCTTTTCCTAAAAACCTCACCTCTTCTAATTTTTTGTTTTTGATAAAATTAACTCTTGTAGTAACATCAGTATCAATTTGGGAAGGGGTTTTAGTGCTCTCCTGAGCATGTAACAAGTTTTTTGTGAATGTTTTATGCATAGATTTCTTTTCCACTTTTTTACATTTCTTTGTTTTCTTAGCATCTCTACAAAGCTGGATTATACTTGGAGATATATGTCAAGGTTTTCTCCTGTCAACATGGAACATAATTTGGGCAGATTGGTTTGGTAATAACTATGACATGAAGATTATGTCAACAAAATAAGTGTTGTAAATGATTTGGTAAATAGATTCACAACTGTGTTATATAGTAGAATGCTAATCTGATGGTCTTAGGTTCCAAATCCTATCTCAATTTATCAAACTAAAGTAAGAAAATATTCATATTTATACAATTTTAGGGTTCTTCTTTCTGCAAGGCAGAAATACACAAGGTAGATGAGTAAAAAAATTGCAGATTGTCTTTGTGTGGTGACCACATGGTTCTGTTGCCTCCACTGGACCTGCCAGAATACAGCAATAATTATGCACCATCCTGTTATTATCATTACTGTTATTATGGTATCCTCCTGGCATTTATGCTAGACACCCATCTTTGATTAAAAGGTAGGGGCCTTTAAGAGGGGGAGAAGAGAAAAAAAGAGAGAGGGTGTCTTCTCCTAGCACATTAATCTATCATGAGCTAATGTGTTTTGCCCATTCTGTTCCTTTGTACTATCTCCAAGGCTCGTCGGCGCGGGTGCACGCACACACACAGAAACGCACACACACACACACACACACACACACGCACACACGCACACGCACACGCACACAAACACTCACACTCTCTTCTTGCACTTCTGCCACCGATCTCTGCTGGTTGACTGGGCCTGACTCAGTCAGCAAGAGAAAGAAAGACAAACGGGCAGACAGATCAACGAAGACAGAGGAACAAAGCCGAGACCACAATGGGAAATACACCATCTCAAGGCATGTCAATGTTCATCCATTCTTAAGTAGCAGGTATTTTTTTTATTGGTGTTTTTTTTTTTAATCCTTCCTTTCTCTTTCTCAACCTGCTGATTCTGTAGGATGCTTTTGCTGCTATGGTGATGCTGTTAGCATATAATGTTAGTCTTTGCTTCAAATGTCAACATATGAATTGGGCATTATTCTTTTTGATAAGGAAAAGGGGGTGTGGTGGGTAGCAGAAACTCATCCCCCCCCCGCAGCTTGTGATGGAGAAATAAGGTAGAATTCTACCAAATTTCTGATTTAAGTGTGAACCAGGAAGGAAAAGATGTTAAGGTACATCAGAGTTCTTGAGCGTGCACTGCTTTCTTTGGGTCTGTATATTCTCCCACCCTGTTGTCAAGGCTGCTGAGCTCCAAGGAGATTAAGTAGCTACAGAACCTATTGTCCTAGCAATATAGATCGGAAAAGAGCTGGGCCTGGGGGGGGGGGCAGAGGCAAAAGGAAGATGGGTGGACAGGTCTTGATAGATATTTGAGTCCAATTATTAAGATTTTAACCACCTGCCTTAATTTGCGCTTAAGATTTACCGGGATGCTCTCAGTTTGTAAATGGTTGCCTTGCTATTTTCCCTCTTTCCTTCCACACCCACTTAATTTCTCATGAAGAGTAAGGCTATTGCTGGCCTGGTTTGTTAAATGATGGAAACAAAGAAGCTTAGGAAAGAGAAAGTAAGTGAGTGAGAGAAGAAAGAAAGAAAGAAAAAGAAAGAAAGAAAGAAAGAAAGAAAGAAAGAAAGAAAGAAAGAAAGAAAGCAGAGGTTTTGAGTCAAAGAGGAGGGTGTGTGTGTGCATGTGTGTTTCAATAGCATGAATGATTGCAGGGAGGAAAAAATCTTCAGATTTCAGGTGTGATTAAGAATCTGGGGGGGGGGATGGTTGCAGCAGTCAGAGCATTCCTATAAAATCACTAAATTGGTACAACTCACAGATGTGGGAGAAGAGGTGAATGAATATCAATTGCCTATGGAATGATGGATGGTTAAGATGAAGATGGTTTATACACAACAAATGCAACTTGTATGCATATATGAACATATCTGAAATGTTTGGTTAGTCATGATTATTGTATTTGTCCATCAAGGCTTTCTCTTCTTACTTCATCCCTACCACTGAGCAATCATGTGCAAACCTCTATCAAAGAAAGGACTTTAACTCCCCCCCCCATGTGTATGTGTGTGTTTGTGTGTGTGCTTGCTTCAAAGAGTGGCATCTTAAGAAACACGTCTAGTATCTGATAAGAGAAATAATGAGATGGAACAGTTACTTGATATTAAGATCAGAGACATCCCACATGGGCAAATTACTTAACTTGTTAATTGTCTTGAATGACAAAAATTCAGGAGCACTTTCTTCTGGTCCATAAATATCTTGCAGAAGAAATGGATATCACCTTGCACTTTTTAGAGGAAAAATAACTCCCCTGCTGAATGAAATTCCCATCCACATGAGGAGCACAGTGTGAGAGGGTTCAGGTCTTTATTGTGCCCAAAATAGATTCAGCTGTAAAAAAAGAATGATCTGCATTAAAAATAAATATGCAACCAGCTTTTTAATAACTTCATTTGTAGTGTTGTGCTATTCAGCATATAGCAAGTTTTGAGTGGGATTTAAATACATTTGCAACAGAAAAAGCTTGAATTTATCTTCTTTTAAGGATTAAAAAAAATAGAAGAAATTTGCATGGGAGGCAAAAATCTAAAAAAAGACTTCCAATGGCAAGATTTTATTATGGTTATGGGTTATCCTTGAAGGAAGCAATAGAGAAAAACATGATGTTGATATTTCCTTCTTGTATGCATGTGGTTTGGCCTGTAACCAGGATTGTCCACTCTGAAAAAGTTTTGTATTTTGCCATTTCCAGCTGCGATTGTCTTTTTCAAATGTGTAGTTCAATCTGTTGGCACTAGGGAAATTTGAAAATAAAGAAGGGCTAAAGCCCTAAATAGATAAATTATACTGCCAAAAACCCAAGCTGGGGTTAGATATGCAAATAATTATCACTCAGAATTGGTTTAGCTTTTATAAAATGATAAAGGTGCATAGAAATTTTCCTTTATTTAAAGGAGAAGTACAAAATTTTATTTGTCTCCATTTATTTCTTCTGCAAAAAGGAAAAAAAGAGATTCATAAGGTACGGTCACAAAGAGAGAAGGCAGCAGTATAGCAGAGGACTCAACAAAAATTCTCATTTTTAAACAATTGTTCATAAGCAGTTATAAAAAGAACATGTTTTACTTTACACACACACACATATATACATAAATATATGTAGATGTACATTTACACACACAAATGCACATGCACACACACACAAATTTAGAATTCTTCACCATTGTAAATAATTTTTCAAATAGCAGATCAAAGCACAGGAAACAGGCACTCAGCATATACTAATCAAGGTATTCTATCATCAAAATTAAATGAAGGTAAAATTGTAGACTAGGATACATTTCTGTGTGTTTGTTGTGATTTAAAATAGTTTTTCCTGACTTGATGCTCTTTAGGTGTATGGAACTATAAATCCTAAAATCCCCAGCTGTGGGTTTGCTATAGTCTAGCACAATTGGAGAGCAGAAAATCAGAGAAGAATGCATAAAAATATAGAGGAAAAAAACTAGAGATGGGATACTGACATTGGGAATGGTTAGAAAGACTGTGTCAGTTCTTGGATTAGGAGTGGTAATATGTTCCAACTCAAGAAACAGATCTTGAATGCAGTTAGGTGGAGCACATAATCCAGTCAGCTGAAACCCAAGCTTTAGCAGGCTGCCTAATAGTATAGTAAGGTATAGGGTGACGGAGATTAGCTAGACATTGAAGGTAAATCAACAAGAATAGTTGGCTTAAAAAGGAAAGGATAGAAGTCATAAAAGACTAGAGGTTCTGTACACCAAGGGTGGAAAAGCTGGTTATATGCTATCAAGTTGGTGACAACTGTTAGCAACCACATACATAGTCTTCATAATGATCTGCCCCACCTGATTTTTCAAGTCTTCCAATAGTGTATCCTTGGTACTTTCTGAGCTTGCTTGTTTTCTTGGAGATGTTTCATTACCTAAACTACGTAACTCCACCAGCTGACACTAATGATGTTACCCAGTTTGAATAATGAAACTTCTGCAAGAAAAAAAGCAAGCTTAGAGAGCACCAAGAACCCTTCATTTCAACCCTGAGCCACAAATATTCTCCATTATTAATCATGTATCCATTTCTGCTATAACTGAATCAATTTTACTGCTAGTTATCTTCTCTTTCCTTCCACTTTTCCCCAGCATCAAAGCCTTTTCCTTTTTCATTAGTTCTTTACATAATATGCCAAAATAGGATAATTTGGTGATTTGTGCCTCTGCTGAGAACTCTGGGTTGGTTTATTTGATGATTTATTTGTTTGTTTTCCTGGTTGTCCATGGTATTCTTAGGAGTCTTCAGAGTACAAAAATGTCGATACTCTTCCTATCCTGCTTCTTCAAAGTCCAAAGGAGAGAGAGGAGATGAATAGAGAATAGAGTGAGGCTGCAGAATGAAGAAAAATGCAAGAAAGAAGGGGCAGTCTTCCTAAGACAATTCCATAGAAATATATGCTTCATTAAATAATATTGCTTTAAACTTTATTGCTTCAAAACACTTTATCATAATAACCTTAAACTAACTCAGTAGAACCCTAAATGGGGAAGGGGGTTGTGACCTGAAATAGGTTGTGTTGTGTCCTGAGCCTGCAAATGCAGGCTTGGGACGTTGCAATGGTCCCGGGGCTTGCAGAAGCTGCCCGGGACCAGACTGAGTGGCGCCGGCTTTGTGCACATGCACAAGGCGCAAAAAGCGCCTGTTTTGTTGCCATTGTGTCTGGGGATCTGGGCGTATAAAAGGAGGCCTGCGTGCCTTTGCTCATTGTTGGTATTTTGGCTGAAAACGAAATAAAGAGTTGTTCCTTGCAAATATGTGTCTTCATCATTCGCCTTTATTGGGACTTAACAGGTTGCATAAATCCAATCACACAATTTGTGTTTGAGATGAGATTCAAACCAGGATGTGAAGTATTTCATAGGCTACCCAATGAAACTAAAGTAGATCTGAACTAGATTAAGCTGGACTGTAAAGACTGTTAATACCACAAAAGTTACTGTAGCTTGAAAACATGTGCTATGTAACATATAAAATCCAGAAGAAAAGGAAGATAAAATAACATGGACTGTTTTGTTTATTTGAACGGGCATTATTTTTGTCTTCCTCATTGGGACACTGGCAGGGGATTAACTTGGAATTGGTCAATAACGATAGTTACCTAGCAACCTTTAGAAAAATGTTGGAGGTAGAAGAGAACTGCTAGTGCTTTCACAGAGCTATGCAATAAACCTGGGGTGGCCTGTAATAGAGATATTCTCAAGGTTACACTTTGCAAAACAACAAAGAAAAAAAGTTGAATTCTTGAATTCTGCATCCCACCTCTCTTTTATTTTTCTTGATGAAGGGAGTCATATTGGCATCCAAACTCTTCCTTTCAATTCTTCTATTCCCATTAAGGACTTTTCAGAAGTGATTTCAATTTCTTAGCAGTTTACTGATCAATCACTGAGTCTCCTTGATACTCATTCGAACTATAATAATTACACACTGTAAGATTATTTCTCTTAAAAGTTATGCCAGTGTATTGCTTATTTTCTTAATTCTGCTACACAAAATATATTGATTAAATGTTCTAAATACATAGTAAAGTGATCCCCTTATAAGCCTAATTCCAAGTTACAAAATTGTATTCAGATTCTTTCTCCCCCTGGTTTACTAATTTGAGATAAAGAAGTCAGCATTTTGAGTTTAAAGAAAGATACTGGACAAATAGAATTTTGGATTTTGGAATTTTGTTTGAATCCAAACAGACATAATCATTTCATTAAAAGAACAGCCAACTTTTTAGGTTGTGCACATCCATCTCTATCCTGTAAAACTGATATATAGTCATTGAAAATCTCATTAATTTTCCTTTAATTTCTATCCTCTGGATACTAAGATTGCCATTCTTACAATATCTTGTATTGGCAACCTACCAACTTTGCATTTTCCCTTCATCTTTTTCTCTGTAGTTCACACAGTTATATCTTCAGTTGAATCATGCAGTGTCATGCTGACACTATCAGCTGCACTTGGATAATGAAGTTGGATTACCCTATGTCTGTTCCTGTGGAGGGAAATCCAATGATACCCATCACATTCTACCTTTATGGCACTTTTCTTTATGTTGTTGTGTCTAATACATTCAGCAGATCATACTTTATCTTGGCTTAGTTCAAGCCATTCTCCTATAAAATATGAGTCCAGCCAACTCAGACATCTGCAATCCCCCTGGAAAAATCAAATTGTTTTGCATGTTCTTGTTTGTATGAAGCCAAATGTAGAAAAGCCAATCTTTGTGCTTATTTCTCACAGTGGCTTCTTCATAGTAGCAGCATCCTTTTTTTTTTTTTTTTTTTTAGAAAAAGGACCTTTGGGAGCTTAGTGATACAACAGCCATAGCCTCCTTGCTGAGAAGACAACCAGTTCCAGTCAGCTGCCAAGGCTTCTGTGGAGCTAACCATGGTACCAGGCATCAAATCAAACAGCTGTAGAAAAGAGGCCTGTTGTAAGAGGAAAGGTTGCTCCAAAACCAACAAAGGGCAAATTTAACTAAATAAAAATGAAACAATCTGAGATTTACATGTGGAAACTGATTCTTCTTTTTGCTGCATATTGATTTGTAGCATGCAGGCATTGCTGGAGACAGTCCTGCCTCCCTAAAGAGCTTCCCTTCCTGTGTAGAAATCCAAGGAATAGAGAAACACATTTTATTCATAAAGAAGGGCTGCCTATGAATGTTTCTGGCATCATACATAGAAGGGCTGCCTGTCTGTTGGGAGAAAATCTTTGCCCTGACCCAAGGCAAAGAGGTTACCAAAGTGGGTACCGTATATTTTAATAAGGTTGTTATATTTAGCCTGATTTCTCCAACCATTTGAAATGTAGTGGCTATTTACCACAGAGGAATTTTTAATTGGTGGCATCTTGGTTCAAATTGATCTATTTTATTGCAATTATTTTCATATTTATTTATAAATTTGCTGTTCTTAGCTCAAGTTAATATAAAGTTGTTTAACATTGTACTGTAAATAGGTTATAAGTATAACTTCTAAATTACTATTCAGAGATTAGATTAGCCTTCACTTTGATATTCTTTCACAAGGACCTGAAGATCTGGTTTGCCAATGGGCCTTGGGAACCCATAATGGAATGGAGCCCATGAACTAGCTTATCTGATTGATTGATTAATTGTTGTCGCCAGGAGCACGGGGGAGGGGGTTATTGTTTCTATTGTTTATATATTGCATTTTTATTTTTTTAAGCCACCCAGAGTTATTGACAGTTAGTGGATGGTCATATAAATGTTCATAAATGAATGAATGAATGAATGAATGAATGAATGAATGAATGAATGAATGAATGAAATAAGCAAGCAAGCAAGGAGTAATTCTTTTCCCAAAAATAGCCAAGATATCAAACCATTTATTAGCTTCCAAATTGTACTTTTGTGTTGGAAGCACTGAAGTGCCTCCTTAGTTAAAAGGATCAGCCAGTGACATCACTGTTGTCTGAGGCATGCCCAGTTGTGAGCTCAGCCTCCAAGTTAACTCTCCATCTAATTTCTCACTCCTCACATCAATTCAGAAGAAAACCTTAGGCAATCATCCCTCTCTTTTCCTCAGATCTTTATCTATAAGTTGTAGTCAATGTTTATTTGTTTACTTCTAATATTTGCTGTAAGCAATTATGAAGTTATAATTCTTAGCACCTTCCATCAACAGAAAGCTATAGCCAGTTTGGTCTAGTGGTTAAGGCACTGGGCTAGAAAGCAGGAAACCATGAGTTCTAATTCTGTCTTAACCATGAACAACAGAGGGAAGATTTTGGGCCAATCACGCTCACCCCAACTCACCTCACCAGTTTCTTGTTGTGGGGAAAATAGTAGGAAAGTGTTTGCTGTCTTGAATTATTTGTAAAAATAATAAAGGCAGAATACAAACAAATAAACAAAAGTAAGGTACAATAAATAAAAGAACCAATGAAAGCCCTTTAAAACTATATTTGACACGAAAGACAAAAGAAACATATTTTTAATTCATATTTATTGTTCCATGTAAAATGAATGTGGTCTTTTTTAGCCTTTGTGCCATCCAATGTTTTGGAGTGCATTAGTGTCACAGAAATACATTATTTCACAATTCATGTGTAAATAACAGAAGCAGAGTACAATAAAATGACCTTTTAAAAAGATTTGTTTAATAAAAATATTGAATTACAAGCTAGCTTCACCAGCTTCTTGTATTGTATGGATTTATACAAGGCATTTGGTTTCCTGAAAGTCCCATTGGGATGACACAGAATGTCCTAGAGAGCTACTTCAGCTTCTGGTAAACAAGTGTTTTAAATGAGTCATTTGAGAAAAATCTCTTAAGAGAACCATTTTGTGAGTGTGCCTGAAATAAGGCTCCCAAACCTTCAGCTATCTCCTGTCCAGAAATGATTGCATACCATTTGTTAAGCCATAAACCAGGGGTAGGCAACCTTGGCTCTTTTATGACTTGTGGACTTCAACTCCCAGAAATCCTGAGCCAGCATGGCTGGATCCAAATTCTGGGAGTTGAAGTCCACGAGTCATAAAAAAGCCAAGGTTGCCTACCCCTGCCATAAATCATTGTTTATGAACCAGAGGGTGAATAGGTTTGTGCAATACAATGCACAATGCTCAATTCAACTAATACAATCTTTCCTAACTGCAATAGACTTCCCATATTCTTATGAACAAAATTCCCTATTTCTATCATGGGATATATTATTAATTAATAGAGTCCAATAGTTTGAGAATCTCTCTTTTTCTTCTTTCAACAATAGCTTATAAAATTTAATTATTTTAAATTCCTATTTAAGTGTACTTCATTTTTTTTCCTACATTAAATGGAGTGGCAAGGAACTTAAGGTTTAGATCAGACTTTCCCAGTCTAAGACCATCCATGTGTCTAGGATTGTAACTTCTATCAATTTTGCAAATAGTAGATATTAAAATTCAGATTCAAAATATTCTATTTCCTTTGCATAAACAAAGGAAATTATTTTATAATAATTAAACTATTGATCTGTTTCACCCATTATGGTTGATAAAGATGGGAGAAAACCTCTAAAGTTTCAGACTGAAGTTTTTCTTGCCTTATCTGGAGGTGCCAGGAACTGAAGCTGGGATAAAGTAATCAGGCAGATATTGATGTAGTTATTTTACTTAATACACACAACCATAATGTTGTGACCACAAGTAATCTCATCGCCTTTTTCAAATGGTCATTAAACAAATGCTGCAATTGCTCAGTGAATGCCATGATTGTTAAATGAATTCATTCATTTGGTCATTGTTTGCTCAAATGCAGCAAAAAAAAAAAAAAAAATTACTATGTGACCACAGGGTTTGGGGAGAATGGCATGACTATTTAAGACAACCGGTGTGCTTTATTTTCTCATTATTTAAGTGTATGGTTCATGCCACAAATATCTAGTTTAAGTCATGAAACTTTAATAAAACAGCAGATTAAAATATACATCTTAATTTGTGTATTGAAATGATATAGTACTTGTTACAAATAATTTCCATGTTTAATTGTTACATTTTCTATGGTTAAAAAAATAAAATAAAAATCTGATTTGAAAATTCCAAAGCAGTGGTTACTGTACTGCTTATGGAAGCTTTCAAGTTCAATAGTTGTATTGCAGATTTAAATGTAATCAGTATTAGAGTTACAGACATGATGAGACCATAAAAAATTCAGTTGCTAGTCACAGAAGATACTATTAGGCTAAGCAAATAAATAGATTCCTAAGTTCATATGTTTAGTTGTGGCTATATATATATATTTTAAAAAATAAATATGAAAGAAAAATACTTTACGATTTTCATTCTATTTATATCCACATATCCAGGTAGCAGTGTCAAGAAAATGGATTTTTTTTTGTCTATCCTGTATATACTTTTTCCTCTCCTTTCAGAAGATTGCTCCAGAGATGACAAAGCACACAGTGGCAAGTGCAACCAGATCTTCATTCCCCTGAATAAATGGAGTTATACATTTACTTTTCCAATGCTGGAACATCAATCTTTTAGCTATAGTAAAGGCATACGAATTTAATTTACATTTTATGATTTGTACTCAGAAGACTTTTCTTTGTAGAAAATAATAAAAAAGCATGCAATTATTTTAATATATTTTTTAAAAAATTCCTAATTTGTTAGTATTTTCATAAAAGCATTATTTTAAAAAACAGGATGCAAATTATTAAAATAAAAATGAATAAGTTGAGGCATTTCTTAATCACCTTGCATTCTATACATTTTGTTGTATTTGTGTGCATACATCTGGAAAACAAGATGGATGAAAAGGTCACAGTTTTAATAATATAGGTTGTGGATATATGTTTGAAAGCACATTATTTCAGCTCTTGCAGATTTCGTATTGAAGAGAGAAACATATACGATTTTCAAGAAGGTAGGATCCAAATCTAGTACTGTAGATACTACCTTTTCTAAAATGTCACCTAATTCTTGTATAGCTCCTTAATTCAATGTTATTTTTAATTTATTTTTATTGCTTTTGAATTAATAATGAAAAAGCAAAACAGCAAAACAGAAAGCTAATAATTCAAGTACAAATATGTATCTTTAAATATTTATTTTTTATATAAATGAGTCCTATATTTATTTATGTTTGTCTATACAAATCTCATGTGTTGTCAATTGCCCATGTACTAGGTATATACTGTAGTTCAAAAACATATTATCTCCTGAAAATTTTAGCTATTGTAACACAGCAATATTTATATAATCCACTACTTTCTTACAAAATCTGGCAAGTATATGACGTTGTAAAGATATATCCTTATTATATCTCCAACCAAGTGCTATTCTTTGTTAATCTTTTTCTATGCAAACATAAGGGAGTTTAATAAATTCTAAATATTATTTCTTCTTGTATAACTCATAATCTGCAGTGCATTGACACTCTTGCTTTAGAGCAGGGGTGTCAAACTGCTGGTCCGCGGGCCGGATGCATTATCCGGAAGCCACACCCACCCCATTGCCAGAAATGACAAAACTGTCCAATACATTGCGCGACGTCATGTGACATCGTGAGTTTGACATGTCTGCTTTAGAGGACACTTTCCCAATGTCTAGGCAATATAAGAACTTCTGCTTTATGTTTCACTAATTTCTTTGCACCTATCAGATTGATTTAACAAGAGGGTTTTTTTTTTTAGTTTTAAAGGATTTAATCTTTAAATGCTGCTAGTTCAAATAATGTTGTTAACAGATTTTGTAATTATAAATATTGCTATTAGGTTAAATCTGATAAATGGTATTTGTCTCTTAATGAGGAGTTATGTTAAAAATCTTCATCTTCTATCAGTTGGTCCAAAGTCAATATTCCTTCCTATTTTTTCATATCACCATCTTTTCTCCAATTTTTAAAGTTGGGTTGCCCCATAGAGCATGGGGGAAAAGGTCAACTCTTTTTTTTATTAGACATTTCATTCCATAGTTTTCTAATTCACACAGTGCTTCCAGAGATACCCCAGTTTTTGTATATTTAAATCCTAATACTGTCTGTCCAACCAAAGGTGTTATATATATACTGTATATTCCAAAATTACTGAAATAAAAAATTAACACCAATTATTGGTTTTCAGTATTTAATATATGACAATCAGTAAGCATGATGATATACAGTAGCTCCCTCATTAGCTGGTAATTTTCTGTAAAAATAAAAATAAAAAAATCTATAGAAATTTTTCTAAACAAGTAATTTATTTTCTGGAAATATTTTCTAGATATAGAAACTGGAATTTTTCTCATTGTATAAATTAATCTGGGAATAATATTCAATTTGAGAGTTCAGTCTTCTCTAGAAGATAAGGCTTAGTGACCCCCATCTATCAATATTTGAAAAAAAACAATAGATATCTTTTACTACATATTATTGAGTTTAATTCTTTGTATATGCATGCCTAAATATTAAATGGATTCTGTGCAAATATGGAATTGCTATTCTTTGAATGGACGGGTAAGATAATTTTCACCTATTGGTATCAATTCTGATTTGGACCAATTAATAGAGTAGCCTGCCAGTTTGCTAAAGCCATCTATCTTTTGCATCAATAGTGGGATAGAAGGTTTAGAAATAAAGAAAAGAATGTTGTCTGCAAATAGGAACAATTTGTGTTCAACTTAATACTGTACCATACTATGTTGACTAAGTTGACTAATAGCAGAAACCAAGATATTAAAAAACAAGTGTGAAACTGCATATCCTTGCCTAATTCTTCTGAATAGTGAAAAAGTAGGAGAAAATACGTCATTAATCTTTATTTTTGATATGGGCAACTAATACTATGTCTTAATTCATTTTATGAATTCCAGAGGAAACCCAAATCTGTTTAGTATAGCAAATATATACTCTTTATGTTTTTGTCAAGAAATTTTCCAACATCTAATGATAAAATTACAATGATTTTTATTTTGTTCAAGTTCATTAGATCGACAGTATATTTAATCTAATATTGGTTTCTGTTTGCCTAGTTTTTATAAATGCTGCTTGATCATTTTTAATAATAAATAATATCACTTGCTGTAATCTATTCACTAACATGCTTTTAAAGTTTTTGTATCAACATTAATCAATGAGATTAGATGATAACTAGCACTCTGTGTAAGCATTATCTGCTTTCAGTATAACTGTAATATAAGTGTTGTTAAAAGCTGGTGGTAAAATTCCATTATTAAATATCTCTTCATAAATTGACAAAGTTTTGGCACCAAAAGATCTATAAATTTTTTACATCCTCAACAGGGAATCTAATTTTGTGTTGTTGCACTCACCATTTAAAAAAATATTTATTTATTTAATGTGCTCCATCTCTGGTCTAAAATGATGGAGCAAATGAAAGTTGTTTTGTGTTTATCTAAATGTGGTAAATTTAATTTTATTTAAAAAGATCTCACTCAATAAATTTTCTGATTTACTATACCATTCTGAATAAAAAATTTAAAATATTATCTCTGTATGTCTAGATATGTTAGCATAAATTCTGTCTGCTATGGTATTATATTAGTTAATTCATATTTATTTTTTTGCATTTCTCTGTACAAACATTATATTAGGCATCTCTCTGTGCTGATAAATGTTTCAATTCACTCTTCAAATTATTTTTCCTTTTATTTTTAATGTTTTTGTATGATACATAACCAATAATTCTACTTCAAATATATGCTTTATATATTTCCCATTTAAAAAATTGGCACTTGATATTTCTGAATTTAAATCAATATATTGTAAAGTCTCCATCCACATTTTTTGTACAAATTCATTATCATTCAATAAGGAAACATTAAAATATTAATTTCTTGATACATAAATGAGTTTCTGAAACATACATTTTAAGGTATTTCAAGATACATAATAAACATTCATATGACACCCCCAAATTTGGTGATATAAGAATGATAGAAATAATCAAGCCTAAAAAAAAAAAAATCCTGGTGGACATTTCATTGAAATGTATATTCTCTTTTAGTTACATACATTAAATTCTATTTTTCCATATAAGTTCTCATTGTTTCCCTTATTAGTATTTGGGATTTTCTTTTCCTTCCTTCCTTCCTTCCTTCCTTCCTTCCTTCCTTCCTTCCTTCCTTCCTTCCTTCCTTCCTTCCTTCCTTCCTTCCTTCCAATATATTTCTATCAAATTCAGCTTTCTAAAATTCTTTTTATTATCAATTTATCATAAATATACATATACTCATTTAAATGCTGAAAACACTAATAAAATATGCAAATTTAAATTTTGTCTGTAAACATTAACCATAGCTATTACAGTTTTTGCTATTTTACAGTAGCACATAAATTTAAATATCATCCATTTGCATCAATAATTCCTTGCTGAACATCAACTGGAAATCCTTTTTAAACCAAAATGGCCCTCATTTAGCTTTTGTGTCTGTAAGATAAACCTTTTTTGTCCAGTCCTTTATTAATAGAGATTTAGTGAGTTTCCTGCAGATAAGCAATTATTTCTTCTTCTTGTCCTCCTTCTCCTTCTCCTGCTCCTGCTCCTCCTCCTCCCCTCCCCCCCGATCATTGTTAACTGATGTTGTACTGCAGGGGTGTCAAACTGCCAGCCCATGGGCCAGATGCGCCCACCCCATTGCTGGCAATGGAAAAAAAGTTGTGATACGTTGTGACACGTCATGTGACGTTGAGAGTTTGACATCTCTGTTGTAGTGTATTAAGCAATATCTGTCCTTAATAAATATTCTAAGATTACATTTTGTTTTTTAAATTCTTGTAACCTGTTTACATTAAGACTAACTTTATAAATTTTATTTTGGCCCACTTTCCCAATTGATTTTATGACTATTTAACAAATATCTAATACTTTTATATATTTAAAGGCTTTACCTATTTACTAATATTGCTGATAGATGTAGAATCTCCATAAAGATTCAATTTAACATTCAAATATCATTCTATTACATATATAGAGAAACTATATTTAAAAGGAAAAAAATGAAAAATGTGGTTATGTACATAAAAATAAAAGAAGAATCACACACATATGCACACACAGGCATACAGTATATACAGTAAATAAAAAAACACAGAAGTTGATGACTTTCTAAAAGGAAATTTCTCTTCTTATATTGAAAATTTCAAAACAGTTTCAAACACTGCTAGTTAGTTCTTCAATATAATGTTGACTATAGCTTTGTATTTTCTTTTTTTTAAAAAATGGCCATTTTTCGTTGTAGGCACACAAAGACTTGAACCATGTCATTTTTAAATCCTGGGTTGGACTAGAAGACATACAAGGTGTCTTCCAACTCTGTTAGTCTGCTATTCATATCCATATCCTCTTCAAAACTCTAAATTTCTCTCACATTTTTCATTTTTCATATATTTTTTAGTTTAGATAAGGATTTAGACCAGTCTTTCTCAGCCTTAGCAACTTTAGGATGTGTGGACTTCAAATCTCAAAATTCCCGACCCAGCATAATTTTGATGTTGGAATATAAATGCATTAAAAGGATAAATGAATAAACTATTATATAGGGAAGAGTACTTGCTGCAGAGTGATGAGGTGCAAAATTTAAAAGTTCCCAATGATTGATTTACTCTGAGAGTAGACCTGCAGCTTGAGTGCTATAGATTGAGAGAGTTTATACCAAGCTGTAATGAGCAATTAACAAGCAATTCCTTGAAATGGACAAGGCAGATCCTTTTTACACACACTAATTCAGTTCTTTTGAAATTTGCAATAATTCAACTTTTAGCATGCCAAACACTTCCCCTATCCCATCCCTTTCGTTTTTTCCAACTTGAGGCACTCATGAATAACAAGTAATCTTTTGTTTAATGCTTTCTCTTGTTGTGTACTCTAATGAAGGAAATAATATGCTATGAACAGCCATTTTAGAAGCCTGGAAATATAGTAGTTTTAAAAAAGGACCCTCTGCATTTATTTTTGAGTTTGACTATATCCTTGTAGAAATTGGGGAACAGATTAATTTGCTTACAACTTTTAGGAAAGAAAGAACACTAGTTTTCTTTATTGAATTTCAGAGCTGGGTTGTAGGCATGTCTCAACTTAATTGGGACTAGATGGGGACATAGCACAACTGATTCAGAAGCAGTTTCTATTACAGATTTGGTGAGCAGTGACAAAGTTATGATGGTAGGGTTCACACTAAAAGTAGGCAAGATGATTGAAGAGGGTCAAATAAACAGGAACACTGAAGGAAAGAACAAGGCCAAGTAGTTAAGGACAGAATTGACATCATACAAGGAATATATTGCATTTTTCAGTTATTGTCAAATATTTTCAAGTTAAAAAAGAAGAAAAGAAAGTTGTATTGTAAATATATTTAACATTTTGGCTGAATATACAAGCAGTGGTAGGAAATGTTTTATTACATTTATTTATATCTTAGTTATATTAGCTGGGCATTGAAGTATCTGAAGAGAACCAGACTGTTTTTTGTTATAAACACTCAAAACACATGGTTCAACTCTTTGTGTGCCTACAAGTTAGTTGACTCCTATCAACTGCCTAGACTAGTCCCTGTAGTCTCTCTGCAAGATTTCAAAAGTGTTTTGCCATTGCCTGCTCCTTAAGGCTGAAAGTGAAAGAGATAGAATGGCTCAAGGTCAACCATCTAGCTTTGTACCTAAGATGGGAATAGAAATCACCGTCTCCTAGTTGTTAGCCTGATGCCTTAACAACTACACCAAATTAGCTCTTTTTGTTATATTTAGTTTCATCTTTTAAAATCAAAAACTCAAGACAGTGGATATGGAGTTTCCTCTCACTTTTTTTAGTCCATAAGGGCTGCTGGCTTAAGATAGTGGAATTGGCTCAAGATTACCAAGTGATCATGGTTAAATCAGACATTCAATCAAAGTTTTACTGGCCTTAACATGATAGCTGTTGTGTCCTGAGCCTGCAAATGCAGGCTCGGGACATTGCAAGGGTCCCAGGCAATTGCAAAAGCTGCCTGGGACCAGATTGAGTGGCGCTGGCCTAGCGCGCATGTGCAAGGCGCGAAAGTGCCTAGAAATGTTGCCATTATGTCCGGGGATTTGGGACGTATAAAAGGAGGCCTGTGTGCCTTTGCTCGTTGTTGGAGTTTTGACTAAATGCAATAAAAAAGCTGTTCACTAAAAATGAATCTTCTTCATTCGCCATTGCGTCCAGGACTTAACAATGGTGACGAAGGTGGGATCCTTCGACAAGAAATTAGAAGGAAAATTTAAACTCACCAAGGAAGTCCTGCGCAGGGAGAATGGCGTCAAGGTCAACATCCATCCTGCCAGTACAGCATTGCTGGAGGGTGAGATTGGGCTGAAAGACCCTTTCCCTGAGAAACGCAAGTGGGGAAGAGCAAGCTTCAATGGCGAAGGTCGGTCGCTTATCGGAATTCGACGTCTCACACTGGAAAGATGGGAATCATACATTGAGAGGGTGGAGAACTACTTTCGAGTCAACCAAATTCATGAGGATGGATTGAAGGCTGCCACCTTGCTGTGCGTCTGTGGTCAAGAGGCTTTCGAGATTGCCAAAAATCTTGTGGCCCCTGCCTCCCTGGAAACAGTAGCATACACGGATCTCAAGAAACTTCTGAAAGAGCATTTCCAGCCCAAGATGTCTGTCATTGTGTGGAGGCACACGTTTGAACAAAGGGATCAGAGGGCAGATGAATCTGCTAAGGACTTTATCGCGGCCTTGAGGCAAGCATCCAGACCATGTGAATTTAAAGATTTAGAGGAAAGACTGCGTGATCGTTTTGTGTGTGGACTGAGAAATAGAGACTTACAGCAAAGGATTTTTGCGAAAGAAGATATTTCCTTCCAAGATGCTCTACGAGAGGTTACAGCAGAGGAAGCAGCAGGTGAAGCAGTAAAAAATATGCGGCCCACCAGAAGCTCCCCAGAGACCATTGTCGTCCACCAGGAGAACGTGCCAGAAGAATCGGAAGAAGTTCCTGAAGATGAAGTGAATAAGCTTTACCAGGCAGCTGGAAGGAGACAGAAGGAATGCACAGAAAAGGCTTCAGCAGTTCCACAATGTTTCGGATGCGGAGGACGCCACAAAAAAGCAGACTGCCGGTTCCATTTTGCCATTTGCAGGGCCTGTGGCAAGCAAGGCCACATCGCAGCCATCTTTTTGGGTCATCAGAAGGTACAACCTAGAGAAGGATTGCATCTGAAAGGTACCAGGGTCCCCAGCCAAAATAGGGTGGGTTTCTGCGCAACACGCAGAAGTATTCTAAGGAAAGGCACACATAAACCCCTAAAGAAGAAGCTGTCCCTTAAAGTTAAGTTGCATGGGGTTCCCTTATCCATGGAATTGGACACTGGGTCCACTCTCTCCATAATTTCCCTCAACACATTCAAGAAGATTTGCAGCAGCAGTGGACTTCTAGTGAAACTCAGGCCATCCACTGTGATACTTACAGACTTTCAGAATTCTAAGGTGTGTGTTAAGGAGGAGGCCACCC